GGAGTTTTTCCTTCCCACTGTTGCCAAAGTGCTGCTCATAGGGGGTCATATGATTGTTGGGTTTTTTTCTGTATTATTGTCTTCATGTTATTGTGATTTGTCGCTGTTTAAATAAAAGTCCACTGAATTAAATTCAATCTCATATGCATCTAATTTTAAACATTTGAGATGTATTTTGTGTTCTGTGAATAAAATCTAAGAGTTTATTAGATGTGCAAATTATCTGTTTTATTTACACTGGTGGTGTATTGTGTAAACACAGAAAAACTGCCCACTGTCCTTGACAATGGGCAGCTGACTAGTTGCCACACTCAGGATAACAGCAGTGTGTATCCAAACATATGATTATATGTATGGGTGCACACCACATACAAACATGCTGACTGCAGACTAACGAGTAGCTGGTGTGCTGCTGTCGTCTCCGGGCGCTCCTTATCTTCTCAAAGCGAGCCTCCATTTCCTCCAGCACCTTCGGGGTGTAGCGGACCACCAACTTGACTGATCCCTGTGCAGCCTTCAGCAGCTCAACAGCCTTTTCATGGTGCTCACCTTCAACACTCTGCATGAAGACCAACACAAAGCAAAAGTCTGACATGCTACAAGAAGCCGTTTCTTCCGACTACGTTTACTCTTTACCCATAAAGTGAACATCTGATGACCTCCCCTCTACCCTTAAGTGGTTTGACAGCGACTGGAATAGGTTGTGGGTTTTTCCGAGGGTTGCCCTGGTAAGCTGTACAGACAGAAATCACCCTCATTAACTTCTGATGCACACCCACTCATTTTGTTCTGGAAGGGGACAGAAGCTGCTCCGTTCAGAAGAGAGAAACAAGCATGACTTCTTATCAACCCTTTCCAGGAGTGAAAGGACAGTGCTAACCTGTTTCAGCTATGACGATGCACTGACATGCACTTCTACAGTATTCCTTCATTTTAGAGAGATGGATACACTCTCATGTTTTCACATCTCTTGTCACGTATGGCTAGAGTACCTCTCCAACCTCCCAGTGATCTGGGCAGGCAGCCAGTTCTACCTCTCAGGGTGCCAGTAACCTGTTCTTATGGTTACATCTGAGTCATATTAAAGTGACTGATGGAGGATCTTTAACACCTTCACTATCAATGTTGGATAAGGTGAGTGAACGAGGTAGAGATTGTAGGTTAAGAGCAGTCTTTTAAGTTTCTCCACTGCATTTAGGAATAATTTAAAGCTGTTGCACAGATCCTCTACATCTTTCTCAGCATGTCAGCATAACAAACACTGCACCATCCACACCTTTAGGAACTCAGGGTGAACCTCGTCCACCCCAGAGGCCCAGCCACCACGGAGGTGTTTAACCACCTCAGTGACGGACGAGTCGTCTCTCCTGTCCCCAGCCTTTGCTTCTACAGGAGACGCATCAGTGGGCTTAAGGAGGTCCTCAGAGTATTGAGTCTGTCGTCCCATTGTCCCAGTGGGAACAACAGTGAGATCTGGAGGGACCTGACAGGAGGAATGGCCCCTGAACCCCACCCAACACACTTTGCACCTGACCCCTGCAACACCTTATCCAGGCCAACAGGTAGGCTAAACGAATCAATTAGTATCAAACAGTATCAATTATTTATATCAATTATAATATACTGATGCTGTATATTTATGTAGATGTTCTACTGAACATACATAAAGTACAAAATGAACTAGAAATGATAATAAATGTGACTGTTCATGCGCCTGACCTAAAAACAAAGTGTAAATGTGCCGTATATGAAGAGATGTTCTTGTGTTATGTTTGGATTTACAAATTCTACAGACAATGGTTTTAAATGGGGTCTTGAAACTGGATAAATACTTGTAGTTAACACTTTTAAAATAATTCCAGGATTCAGTGACTGCTTCTGGTCTTCACGCTGTGTGCACCTCTCCTCAGCAGGTTGTAAGTGGGCTTCTGTGATCCTCTTACCACACCATTGACAGAAAGTAGCTGGTCTCCTCTCTTCAGCCCACCTTGGCGGTCAGCCACTCCTCCAGGGATGACTCTTGAGATATAGATGGGAGAGTTTTGCTCTTTTCCACCCATGATGTTAAAGCCCAGTCCCTCTTCTGTCTTGGGCAGTTCTACCACCCTTGGGTGGGCGTGCCCCTCACTGGCTGCAAAGGCTGCCACTGTGGCCTAATCAGAGAGGAAACCACATGATGAGCAAAACAACAAGTTCTATTTCACATCACATCTCCAGTTACCTCTATGTGTTACACAAAACAGAGGATCTGACAGTACACAGGTGGGAGGACAAACATATGCTGCATTCAAAGGATGCAATACAAAACAAGCTATTTTCCCACAGTGGTAGTGTTAAATGTGGGCCTGTTTATAGACAATCTGAGTAACTCATAAAGGCTCAATACATGAGCAGGGCACAGAGAGGAATCAGCAGGAATACCACAGCTCGTGGTAGCAATGCAAATATGTTTCTAACAATAGTAAATTCTGATTGCAAAAGCTGCCAGAAAAGAGGAAAGGAAAGGGAAACAAAGGAAGAAAAAACCCAGACAGAGAGAGTAAGGACGCAAAACATGAAGTTGCTCAGCATTTCAAACTGCTGAAAGTAGGCGTCAGGAAGAGCACACTGTGGAGCCGGCTAACCAGCCGAGCATTCGTCCTCACATGGCACCGTGACAGGCTTTTAGAGGTCAAAGGCTTAAGGAGACAAAGATATCCGTCAGAGGCAAACTCTGGAAGGATGTCAGGTGGTATTCTTCAGTGCAAATTCATGTATTAAACGCTGCATTCATCTGTAGCATTTCAAGATTCCCTTCAACTATGCATCCTACTGTTTCAGTGGGAGATGCACGATCACTACATCTTCACTTGTTTTGAGCAAAAACTAATTCCACACTCTGCCACTCTGGTGCAAACCTTTCATTTATGGGGTGGCTGTGGCTCAGGCGGTGGAGCAGATCAGCCACTGACTGGAAGGTTGCTGGTTCGATCCCTGGCTCCTCCAGTCTGCATGCCAAGTATCCTTGGGCAAGATACTAACCCCAAGTTGCTCACCGATGCATCCATCGGAGTGTGGATGTAGATTAGTTTGCACTTAAGTATAGAAGGAAGTGCTTGTGTGACTGGGTGAATGAGGCCTGTTGTATAGCTGTGAGTAGAAAAGCGCTGCATAAGAATCAGTCCATTTATGACAGAGGTCACCATATTCCGGCACTGCAGGAGTGCTGCACTGTTAATCCCATTTAACTGTACTACTTTTGTTAAAACATATTTATCAGTTTAACAAATGCATACTGCACTGTTCTCAGTATCTCAGTGGCATTAGCAGAGCGTGGTAGTCTAAGAACTACAACACTGCTGTGGTTTGCAATCACAAACAGCCCAAATCTCTAACATAAAGCTGCTTTGTCATTTGTAATACCTTGGCTGTTGCCTGGGCTCGCACCTCTGGTCCTCCAACAATGTCTAGAGTGTCATAGAGCTGCTCATAAACCTAAGGACAACAAAGCAGAGCAAAGGTGGCTCAGACTGGAGTGTAATGGGGATGTAGCATCACACAGTGCAGTAGATACACAGACAATGGATAACACTGCAAACATCCATGATAAATTCTATTATTAGCTAAATATAAGAAACTGCACCATGTGCTTTCAGTCAGTCTTTGATAACAGCTTCAAGGCTCACACTTATTTACTTTCTGTTATCTTCTTTACTATTTAGTTATTCATTAAGTCATTAGTTGTTACAGTCATTAGTTATCTAACTTAACTTTTTAAATGCAAGTGTTGCCAAGAACGCCAGCGTGGTGGCTGGTTGCTCGTTCAGCATCAGATTTTAGTAAAAGGCCTCAAACTTAAAGTGTAGTTTTCACTGACTGGAGGCTAAATATGTGGCTGCAGCTCAGGAGGCAGAGCAGCTCATGTACTAATCTCTACTGAAGGCTTTACGGCCAGTGTGCTGAGGCCCAGGTCAGAGTCCAATCCACGGTCTTTACTGCGTATCGTCCATCTCCACGGCGCCACCATTCAATAAAGACAAAAATGTCCAAAAAGAAAGGAAAACAGTGCACATGTTCTCACATGGGTCATTTAAAAAAGTCTGAGATGATTAAATGAAAAGAGTTGCTTTTAAACAGACTGTGAGGACGTGACAATGCTCACTTTATGCACCGGACATTAGGAAAACAATTATTAAACATTCTTTTAAAAGGGCCGTGGCACTTTACCTCTCTGATGGCAGCGCAGAATTTGCTCTGTAGGACTCTCTGCAGGGCCTGCAGTTTGGGAGGAGGCAGCTCACCAGTCCGCTGCAGCCGGTCCAGCAGCTCGATCACCCTGCATACATCTAACCCACAACACACACAAGCCAGGATTAACAACACAGCCACACAACACTGTCTGTGGACACTACAGACCCTCCCACAGTCACAGGATGCATTTGCATGAGGTGAGTGGGAACATTTCTCCAAGTGGTGAAGACGGCCGCATGAAGGCATCTACTGCCTTTCTATCCATCCCCAAAGGTTATGGTCAGAGTATCTGTTAAGATGTTAAGAATAACAAGTATATCTTAAAATGTTTGCAATAATGAAACATTTCAATATAATGTAGACAAAAACGAAAAATAAAAAGAAAGTTACGGATCAGGACTCTCCGATCCTTACTGCGCATGTGTAAAGTCTGACCGTACAATCGGGTCTACCCGATCCGTACCGCGCATGTGCAGATGTTTTCTTC